TCAGTGGACCCAGATCAGTGGACCCAGATCAGTGGACCCAGATCAGTGGACCCAGAGCCCTGCAGGGGTCCACGGTCCAGTGGTTGAAAACCTTGAAAAACAAACAAACTGAATGATTTATTTTTCTTCATATCCTCAACAAAATCTTTGTCTGTCGTTTTCTGACAAGTATAAAGCTCACAGTTAATACAGCTGTGTCTGCGTCAGTATAAAGCTCACAGTTAATACAGCTGCGTCTGCGTCTGTGTGTCTGTGTGTGAGAGAGTGTGTGTGTGTTTTCTCAAAGCTCAGTCTCAGTCGTTCGCCCAGTGTGTACACTTGTCTGTCCACAGAAAAGAACTGACTTCAACAGAATCGTGTTTCATTAAAATGTTAAAACATTAAAATTAAAACGTGAACCTTTTACCCATCATCCTCCCACAGCCGGTGTTGTATCCTCGTCCATATTTGAATACTGAGCCCTGATATGAGACTCCCTCCTGCAGAATTCTCAGGACTATCTCCCAGACTCTAAGCAGCTCCATAAACATAACAGATAAAATTATACAACTGTTTTCACAGCGCCGGCGCTCGTGACTATAAAATGAAAATGACCTTCATTTTTACATTTGTTCCAGACAGTTAGAACGTTGAAACAGGGAGGAGAAAAATATGAATAAACAAAAACCTAAGCAGCCGTTCTTCTTGATCCGTCCTGTCTCTTCTCAGACCCTGACCCTGGCCAGAGACTACGCTGCCGAGGTGAAGAAGCCGTTCCCAGAGATACACCGGCAGATCCTGGAGGACAGGGAGTGGCCCAAGGACCTGTACGTCCTGGAGGGGACCAACCAGGCGCCCACCATCGTCTACATGCCACTGTTCAACAGACGCAACTGTAAAGGTGGGTTCCACTTTTGATATTTACCTTCAGTGGATTACTGCACCCGACACACAGCAGTACCAGTACTGTTCAACTTCAAACACTACCTGTCTTTCCATGGAGATCCGTTCTGACACTGCTGCGGACTGGCATTGGTCCGCAGACCAGGGGTTGGGTACTCTTGGTCTATGTTACAAAAATGAAAATATAAATGACAATGT